AAATTTTTACCTGCATTTCTACCAATAAATAAAAAAAAATGTATGCTATATAAAAAACAGAAAATATAGCTATAAATATTGAAGGACAGAATGGTACAAGAACAATGTGAATGAAAGCGAATAATCTGAAAAAATGGTCTGGTTGAGAAAGTCATGTATGAATGAAATAAAATATCTAAGCCCAAGGGTATTGACAGTACCATACACATGTGTGTTAATGAGATAAATGTGCATACAGCTGTACAGATACAGAAATGACACACGACACAATTTGTTAATACCCCAAGGACAGGCAAAGCATTTCAATTACAAATATAAACACGTGTTGTGTTGATTACTGATTCAGAATTAGCATAGTGCAAAATGCATACCCCATACATAGACAGTGCAAGCAAATACAATAGGGACAAAAAGTAAATTAGATTTGTTGCTAGTTTTTGGAATCAGCTATCACAATGTTACAGTTAATAGTTTATTTGAAAACATGCAGTATAGTTTTACATGGTATCTAGACAAAAGAATATACAAACTGTACTGAAAACAAAGCATACATTGTACGACAAAGGCACAGCCTCAGAGAGACTTAGAGTTCATTTTGAGGTCAAATCAGTGTGAATTATGGGACGCTAGTGGAATAAATTATTACCTGAAAAAGAATCATCACCAAGGTAAACATAAATAGGCTTGTTACAACCATTAAAATGTACCTTTTGATATATAAAACACTGGATCGATATGGATTCGAACATTTAAGCTGAAATAAATAAGCGCCTGTTTGAGTAAAAATAACGATGTACCTTAGTGTGTCCTCTAACTTATTTTGTAAGAATCTTGTGTCAGCGAATAAGCCTAACTGTTTGCGTCACAGTAAGTTTCTGTGCGTCATTGACACGTCATATCGGTTTAGCAGGTATACCGATATACCTGTACCCTAACAAAATAAATTAATAAGATCATTTGAAATAAAAATTTTATTCTTTGATTACTTCATCGATTTTAAATGCTCTGAAAGCAATTTTTAGGACCATAGCACACTTAAAGCAAATTAGTTAAAACTTGATATCTTTATTCACCTGTTCATACGTGTAGCAGGCAATTTTTACATTCTATAATTAACTATAATTAATTAGTCTGTGTGGGACAAGTGAACATGCAGTCATTTCAACCCCTGTATATGACAACAATATTTTGCAATAATTATTTTCACTGACGTGTGAAATTTGATAAAAATTTATGTGAGAAATTTATGTTCTATGTTAATGTTGACTTAACAAATATTCCACAAAATAGTCAAATGGCAGGTTAATTTTACTATGTTTTTCATGCAAGTACATTTATTCTTCCATGCAAGGAATCCAATATAATCCGAAAAATGCATATGTCGTACACTATATCGCTGAAATATAACTATTTTATCCAGATGAATTAGGGTGCTTAAAATAGTCTACAAATGTTGAGATTTGAACTTTGAGGAAAGAAATTAGTGTAATAAGTATATGTTTAGTAGGACACCAAGTCAAACTTATAGGGCATCAAGGCATTGCCTTCAATGCCTCCATGAAGTTTTTAGAATGGTAGAAAAAGGGCACGAAAATGTTGACTCAGAATGTATTAATGTCTGATTTAGTTACATCAAACCTAAATGCTAATATGAGAAGCATTTTTGTTATGATATGATAAATATTCTTTGACTGTAAGAAATGTCACCTATGCACTTCATGATAACATGTATACTGTATATCCATGGAAATCACATGACACACAAACGAGGGAATGCTAATACGTACATTGTATGTACACTGTGTACCCATGGAAATCACAAGACACACAGACCAGGGATTGTTAAATACATATATTGTATGTATACAGCTATCCATGAAATCACAAGACACATACACATCTAGGGAATGCTAATACAACTGTACAAGTGTATACTGCTATCCATGGAAATCTCAACAAGACACACAAACAAAGAGGAAATGCTAATACATATGTACATATTTTTTGTAAATCATTGGGAATCAAAAGATGTAGATAAAGAGGGTATGCTAATATATATACGTACACTGTTAATCTAAGTAAATCACAAAACACACAGACATGGAAATCACAAGACAGACGAGGGAATGCTAATACATATACACATTGTCTATCCATGGAATTCACAAGATACATTAGACAAAATCACATTGCATCTGCAACTAATGAAAGAATTCTATCAATTGAGAAAGCAGGATAGTAGTATATTACCTCAGAAAATGATACATACACACTTCACATTGCAGAGGGCTGGCTTGCTTGTGCCCTTTCTCAAACAATTTTTGTCATACAAATGTACATGTTGTAGGGGAAAATGTACATGTATACAATATAGTTGTGAAGACATTAGACTGCATGGTTAATTTCCACAAGACACAGATGATATGAGCAAAGGCATACCAGTGCAAAAACCGGTTCAGTATGTTTAACATGTGCTTTATAACACATCCAATGAAAGATTGGTGATAAATCATTTTGGAGACAATTTATTTCAATGATTACAACTAATGAAATTGTTTTTCAGTTATGATATGAACAAACATTGCTTCTATCTAATTATTTTGTTGTGGCTGAAACACCAGTGAGTCTAGTACAAAATAGCCACAACCTATTTCGTCAGTATTTTTCCTAACACAGCTTGCTTTCGCACCAGTATCTCCATACATCATAGACCTTAGAAAACACTGTACCTTCTGTGTGTCAGATTGACCCTGCTTCTTCAACAAATTTACCCAGTGTTCCTGACCCCATACACTCAATTATGTTCAATTTTACACATAAATGAAATGATGTGCAGTAGATTTAGAACATCTGAAATGCTCAAATGCAGATAACAAACAGCTATCAGCTATAAGTCAAGAGAAAAAATGGATGTTTGGCAGACTACTTTCAATTTTAAGGCAAAACTAGAAAAACAATAACTTCTTTGTGATAAAACTGGTTTCAGACAATGTACAAGTCTAACCAGTCCCACCAATGACAAAATAAATTCTATACAGAGTAACTGTTACGCAAACCTTTGAATTTGAACAAATTCCAGACAAATAACAAGACCTATTAATAATTGTTTAACAACTTATTATAATAAGCACACAATTTGTTTAACTTGGCCATAAGCATGTACTTGTATACAAAGATTCAATGCATTTTCAAAAATACGATTTCACACGTAACTGAAATACTGTAAAGGGGGTAATTATTCACTGGGTTTTAATTTAGCTTATTTCGCTGACTGGAAAAATGCGCTAAATTAAAACACAGTGAATATGTAAAATTTAGCATAGAACACATTATCTAAATGACGAAACCGTGAATTTAAAACCTACTGAATATGCCCGAAATGGTAAATCAGTGAAATTTAAACCCAGTGAAAATTAGTCATTTTACAGTATAATGCAACTCATTCTCATAAACAACAAGATTTTACGATTTTCGCTGCCTCACTAATTTTGAGCAATTCAGTCAAAACACTAACACTGTTCACCTTGAAAAAACAAATTTGTGATATTATATCCTAATTTACAAAAACTATTTCTGGGGTTACTACATCTTGCGCTTGGGTCAATGAACTACTATGTATGATATCATGCGCTAAATAAGCGTGTTTATATTGCAAATAAATCCTACTAGAGTTCAATAGTGAATGTTAGACTTAATTATTACCCATAAGATAATAGAACATCAACTGAATACGAGTGTCTTTCATATAAAGATAGCAGTGGTAATGTAAATAGAGTTTGCATTTGATATGGTACGATCAGATCTAGTGAGTGATTAACATATTTAAATAAAAATAAAAATCCAGAGATTTAGTTTTTAAAAATAAATATTCAAAAATAAAAGTGCTGGGTGTATTTTAAAAGGACCTTCATGCATGATATTATTATTAACTTTTTTGAATACTGGTCATTTACAAATGATCTTTTGGAAAGCATATGAAAGACTTGTTTTTTGTTTAATCTGACATGCAAAAACTGATCAATTGCTAATTTTGTTATTTGTGATATGTTTTTTTTTTATTTTTTTCAAAAAGATATATAAAAAAAAAATACACAATACTGACTTGTGTCACAAAACACAGCTGTACCATTGAAATACACCCATAGTAGGTATATGCCAGTTTCAGTACAGAGCAGTAACAGGAAACTACACTAAAAACGTGTAATCGATCATCAGATCAAGTTATTTTAAAAATAAATACTGTCATCATGTTACATACATCACATAAAAAAGAGTTTAAGCGAAAAAAAATCAACAAATTCAAATTTTAATGCATTGTAATATTCACACAAAAAAAATTAAATACCATGTTGGGCCAGACAAAGGAGTGTGCATATGCAAATGAGCCAGACTAACCAGCTGGCAGATCATGTAGCTCGTCACCTACATCTTAAACTCCATTTTTTTCATTTTTTGTTTTGTTTTATATAACATCTCTGAAATTTGGTTGCAGGAAATATCATGCTTTATCATTTAAAAGAGAAAGGTATTTTTTAAACATTCTTTTTAAAAATCACCTTTATTTAAAGGTATTCTCTATTTTCAATTTCACTGTATTTCTCATCCAATGATACATATGTATCGTAGACAATAGTACCACTTAGGGCAACTGTCTCAACTAGGCTTTCTATTAAATATAATTGTTTCCTGTCTAAAAGGAAAACAAGCCCAAAAAAATATAAGCGGTCAGGGTCATATATCTGTAGCCGGGTGACAGGCTCGTGATTCACACACTGTCAACAAATCGTGGAAATAATAAAAAAAAAATAAACGAACAGACAAAGCTAGATTATTTTTAATAATATTGAAGTGTGAAATCATTGGACGACACACAGGACCACAGGGTACGACGGTGTGTGATTATTATTACTTGGGAATTCAGAGCCAACGTTTTTATTTTGATTGAGGTGCCATTTTCTGAAAGTATTTATTTCTGAAACTGATACAAAGGAAATACTCACCGTATTGAAGTTCATCATAACGTCTTTCTATTGAGGTAAATGGTCTAGTAAATATAGGTTGGTTTAGGTTGCAACTGGATACGCAAAAATCGGATGAAACGTGTCCTCTTTTGAGCTGAAAGCTTCAGTTGATGTCCAGCGATGGTCGCCGAAGTCTTGGAAACTGATGACGATATGCTGCCGATAACAAATATTGTCCTGCGCCCTTTTCTCGAGGTTACGAGAATCTCGATATTTGGAAATATGTTGGCACTTTTACAAACAGCCCAGGAATCAAAACTGATGTTATTTTTAACAGTAACAAAAGAAAGACGGCCAATGTTTCTTCGATTACACAAAGGAGGAAGTCAATTCCGCTCTCACACGAACCAAGTGAACTATGTCTGACGTCAGGTCAATGTATCACGTGACCAGTTTGTATTGATGAGGGCGGCCGCCATATGATTTTCATAGCCTCTCACTCATATTTCTACAAATGTAGGTCTTCACACACATTTACCATATTTACAAAAGATTTTAATTTTATTTTAAAAAGAAAGACGAAATTGAATCTTGAATAGAATGCCTACTCAACGAATCAATTACCTTTATTTGGCAATGGTGAGGAATCCGTTAAGAATTTAATAAAATTTGTTGACTTTTTGAGTTATCTGGCTATGAATAGTCATTTAGACCATTCCTATCTCCATGGCAACGAGATCCAAATCTTAAACAACCTCTCATCGATTGGTGTTTTCAAAGGCAAATCCTCCCTGAAAATGTGGTGAATCTCAGTATCCATTCCTAATTTTTTGAATTATAGATGAAAAAATTATCATATTCGTTTACTCTTAAAGGATTCGGAAGAAGTCATCTTCATCGTCTACAACTACCCAGGGTCACCTACACAACATGGACATCTTTTTCTGAATTGGGTGATTATTTCTGACAAAAATAATACTATTAATAAAGATCCTGTTGAATTAACATCAAGACTTGAGCTTGCATGTGTGCATGGAGTGGCCCAACAGCGAAAACATTGGTAAAAAAACACGTTACGCATTTAGGGGTATTTCGTTTGTAAAATTCACAAAAGGATACTCTTCTTCAAAGATACAGTCCATGACGTATTAGCGGTAATTTCTTTTAATAAAGAGTGGCAATCATCAACTTGATCCCGGTAACTCGAGCGATTGGGTATTTCGGATATTTAAAAAAAATATCACTGAGTGAAAATAAAATATCATTTTCGACTTTAAATACGTGTTCAAGAGCGTTTTTTTTTTTTTCAAACCCCCTTCTCAAACATGGGTAAAAGCTATTCCTGCCACAAGGGTGAATTCAAAATGCTCGCTTACAGAACGTCCGAGGGCGCTGTTCTGAACGTTGATACGCACAGAATTGGCTCTAATACATTTCGACTTGAAACCCATACTTCAGTTATCAAAAATGAGCTCCGAATATGTCAGTTAACGGAATCAATGAAATAGAACACATGACATTATGTATTATATTTTATTTATTTATCACTGAAAAATGAAATTCGAACGCACAATGAAATGAGATACTGACAATCCCCAACAACCGGACGCACGCACTAAACATGGTTGAAAATTATCTACATTGAAATACATATTTCAAGCATACAGTAAAAGCAATTGTTTGTTTAAGTGCGCTTCAATTAAACTTCAAACAACTAATGTCTAATAATATAATATACTAATATGCGCTTCTAATATAGCACAAGTGTCGGATTTTTTAAAACACGGCCGCATGTACATTTCATCGCGGGTGGGCAGCAGTGCGCCCTCTTAGCCGGGATGACGTGTCACTAAGATTTGCTGTGACACAATAGTTCTGCTAATCCACTTGCGTGTCTTTGACTCAGTGATATAGTGATTCTTTTTATCCATTTGAGTGTCGTAATTTGTTCTCACTAAGATGTTGGTGTAAAATTTATTTCTACAATTTTTTGATGATCATTTTGGTCAAAATTGACATAAAATTGTGATAGACATCTAAGCAACATTTTATTTTGAGAATAGTGATGACGATCAAAGAGTTACGAGTTTGTAACTGTATTACTTGAAGACCGACCTCCCTAACAGTCAATAAGCAGACTCAACTTGATTGATGGGATTCCAGTTTGACTCAGGATGGCATGCAGAATGACCAGACCCGCCAGAGAGCACACTAGGGGGGAGGGCAAGAGAATTGAAAGTAATTGTAATTTGTCATACTAGTACTCTAATGACTTACATCGTGCAAAGGTCTTTCACTTTTTTCAATTTCCTTCAATTAGTACGAGAAACAACTATTATTGACTTATTAGACTGACGTCCCAGCGATTGGTACATAATACCGCGACGTCTAATTGATTTGATGTAACTAGATCAGCATATGGTCACAGTCTATCGCGTCTCTAGCAAACATGAGTACGGGGCATACTTATTGACGGACATTCCTCACTGCCACAAATACTTCCTGAGTGGTATAGAACCTCTGTCAAATAAGACGTCTTGTCTTACTATTGTCTCGCTTACGACATCCCACTGTCACACGCAATTGTAACTGAGCAAACATAGAATTAATTGGCAGTATTAAAGCATTTCTGTGCATTATGTTTAAATAATCTTGTTTGATAATTTATTTATGTTTGTAAAAATGATGTTTTGGCAGCAAATATCGAATAATGCAAAACGCAAATGCGCAGTACAGATAATTGCATCCAATAAATAAACTTTATAAACTTTAAATCTTTATTGCCAATCCAACATTACAATAAATTACACAATATTGTTTTTGCACTAGATACTTTTTTTCCAAAATGTCTTTAAAAAAACGAAAACTATTCAATGATACGATTGTCTTTGGAAGAATTGCGAACGCCAACGGGAAAAAAACAACACTTTTTTTTTCAGCTTGACCATCATTTGTGATCTCAAATAGTGTTACCTAAAGCTCGACGGATACGCAATTGCAATTAGTGAAATCAATCATACTGATTCAGCCTTGTTTGTTTACTTAGTGCCATTGTACTTTGCATTATTTATTTCGATAGTGCATGTTTGCCACACGTATCACAACACAAATCAATTGTGAAACTTGTGAACTCATACAATTGTTGTAATGATGAATGCTGTAGGAAAGTTATAACGTAAGACTCGACTGAGAACACTTCTCAGCATTTTCAACATACATTGTATTTGTTAAGAAGTTATACCGCCCTCTGTTGTTGCACTCTGGGTTATTTTAAAACCTGAAAACTTTATCGCGTCATAAATTAAAGCTAAGACGCCATAAAAACCTCTAATTCTGATAGTGGTGATTTATAATACGCAATAATTGGCAGAGCAGAGCCGTAATGGTACACTTGAGAAAAAAATGAACGTTTTGTTAGCTCATATATATCCTCGGGGGCGGAGCTACGTCACAGACGTTCCACGTTGCTAAGACGCGCACCACTGTACCATGCATTTCTATGGGCTCTGTGCGCGCTGCTGTGGAACGCCGGTCGAGCCGGTGAAAATTCGAGAAAACAACACAAACTCAACTTTGAAGTAATCCCGAACAACCAAATTTATATATGTTACACACGTAGGGCTAATCTTGTTACACTGTTCAGGGGAGTCTCAACAATCATCCCAAAGTACTGTTTTCTGCGAGTTTTGGGCCTTTGTTTTCACCGCCGCGGGTTGCCAGGCGGTGAAAATGCCCGGATGTCCGCCCCGAGGATATTTATATTTATATTGAGATGAAAATACAAGTTTTGAATACAGTGTACAGTGCGAAAAACTCTTCCTCTTATTATTTCAATTGTTTCAATTCAATTATTATTCTAGTGGCTTTTATCTGATTAAAGAGAAACATTTCAAAGTTGGACACCGTTTACGACAACTATTCCAGGCTTATCTTATTTGATGAGCAAACCACGTTATCCAATCACGTCCTGTAGGTTGATGTACCTCAATGGGGTGTACCAATGGAAGAGCGACATCTACGGTGACACCCATACTCCAAATAGATGGGACTAAATACACCATTGTCGCAAACTACAGCCCATTTTCAGCAACTAATTAACCTCCAAGGGTCGAGCACAAAAAAAGTCGGACTAAAAACAAGCTCTTGTGGGCGAGAATGAGATACATGCGCATTAAAGCGGGGGAGTCGTCACCTGCGCATGCCTCAGATGGCCATAGCGTGCCATTGTTTACAAACAAGCGTCTATCCATGAACCTTTGCGTTTTTAGCGTGTCGCTTGGGAATCAATTCCCGCGCATGCGCAGGTGTCGATCTACTCGCTTTAACCACCGTCCCTTTGCATTTATCACGACATACTGTCACCACATAGCGAAATAAACGCATATTCTCCGTAGACGAAATTCAATGTGTAACGTTTTTAAAAATACATATACTGATAATTGCCATCACGATTATGAATCATAAATTCAAGCCTATTTGGGATATATTTTGACAAATAATTACACTGTAATGACTAATGTGTATATTGAAACCACGCCTGTAGTCTGACTTGAGAGTACAGGTAGCGATAAAAGTGGGTTGAATACTTTCTTTTATAACGGCGGTATACTTAGGATTGATTGATTAATTCATTCATGCTTTCAACATACATAATTATACAATTGGAAACTAACCATGTTTAGCCTGAGTGTATAGCAGGTTGTCTACCATCGGTACATAACGTCAACTTTGGAAGTTGTCGGCATGTTTTTTTTTATTTTTGCGAATGGTCACATGTTTAAAAAAGAAAGTGAAACTGGTGAATTAACGCACTCACCGCCATGCAAAGATTATAATCTCGGTAACAATTGTTTTTGGAACAGCGCCACCACTGAGAAATTGTATGCATATTGAAGTTGAGGAGTTACAAAATCGATTGTCTCTTTTTCGATTAGAATCATTTTGGAAGAAACTTTATCTGTTGTTACTGAGACCGCAAGAAAAAAAAGAACGACAGAATTGCAGTATGTGACACTGTTTCGCTATCCACATTACACAAAGTAGGCCAGATTGTGAGCAACGTATCTACCCGGTATATCATTAGCGAAACACAGTGTCTCGTACTGGAATATAGCCGTTACATTTTTCTCGCGGTCACAGTAAACACATTTAATAATTTTTATTTTAATCCAAATAATAATTTTTCTTCAAATAATTTAGATTTATCGCTATCTTCTTTGTTATTATATTTTGCCATTTATCCCGATAAATGTGTTTTCTTTGATTTACTAAAATTTGATTCACTAAAATCATTAATAATTGGCAGTTCCAGCTTTTTCGAAAAACCCGTATAACTCAACGTTAGTTGGTAGCTACCATGCTCTCGCAACGTTCATATAAACTCGAAATTTACACCGAAAACAATTTTAATAGTTGGTTAAATAATTAAACCACCCAAATTTCTGCACTATAAAAATAGATAGTTTGTCTAATACGTCAAACAAATTACATGCTAATTTCACAGAGAACTCATTATTATTCCGTAGCATATTGTACATTTTGAATAATGCCTTCTATATAATCTGCTGCTAATCTAAATAGCAGGACAATAATGGAAAGCAACTAGCACTGGTTATGCGTCCAATCCAGACTCTTTATTCTGGTTGACTTCGCACCGGTTTTGTTTGAAAAACACCTAAGTACATTTTCATAATGGATGGTGACATTGATCGCTATAATTTTCATTGAAAACGTCACCAGCGCCGCCATGGCAACAGGCGAAAGTGACTTAGAGGGCCCATGACGTCACGCGTCGATGGACACAACTCAGTAGCGGAGCGATGTGATTATACTGTGTACTGGAAATCAACACATTCTTGCAAGAGGCGCATATTTTTTCTAGTAGGAATTAAAACCTGTTTGTGGATACGAGAATACAGCTATCACAGGTGGGTATTTTATTTGCGTCACGTTTGGAACAGGAAAAGGCGGGGGGGGGGGGGTCTCCTGCCATGCACCCTGCGAAATTATATTGGCGGCGATATGTCTTTTAGATATTGACGTGATGCCGGTGAACTGAACATATCAATGTTCCTGCTACCAAGGTCTTCTCGCCTTGCATCGCCTGGGTGGAAGCTCGTAGCGATAATACCACTACCCACGCCAGAGGCCCAGAGTAACATAAATGCGCCAGCACAAACGATATTTTTAATTTTCTATGTGCAGGCGCTTCCTCGCAGACGACAAAATGACGCTTGATCGGGTCGGCCAGACATTAATCTGACTATAATCCTACATAGTCGTATCTAGGATGACAACACTGTCACCAAAACAATCCGACTTTATGATATTTAATAACATTTTACATTCACATGTACACGGGCACAATCTGAGTAAGCTTTACAACAGACAAGCAACAGACGGGGATTGATAAATTCAGTCGCAGCTCATATTCAACAATGTAAAAGACATGTATTAGTGTTACTTTTGACGAGATCCCACTTTCTCCCAGTATAATGATTAATTATAACATTTGTATACTAATTTAGTCATTCAATTTTTCAGTTTACTTTACAAAGTAGTTTTTTATACGATTACTTAGTATGATAATATTCTAATTAAATTTACTTTTTTTTCTCTCCATTCACACAGTGCCATTGTTATTGGAGGAATGTTTTCTTTTCACTTTGAGAAGTGTTCGTCAGACTTTATTTCATGTCCATGGGAGAAGGGTACAGAGGGATTAGAATTCCCAAATATCATTTAGACCGGAGTACGCTGTTTGAGATGTTTCATCATTACCATCAGCCCCCAGGCACCGGTTATGCGGCACCTCGAGCTCGTTGGCAGTACTGGTGGTTCCGTAGAGCACCTCGAAACAGACATCTTCATGATTCAAAACCCAAACCATTGGTTCACACCGGTAACCCAAAGGGAACTACAGCCATATGCCTTGTGTTTTTAGGGATATTCTGTGTGATATTGGGATTGTTCATGGCAGGTTTCGGTTACAGTTACCCCTACAAGTTCCCTCTGCAGATTGTTGGCCCTCTCCTTTTAGGTTTGGGTTCTCTCATGATGCTTATTGGAATCATACTGTGTTTAGTAGTCAGAAAGGAACTTAGCAGTCAACTGGATACTGCTACTTCGCCTGCAATTGTTATGTCTGAAAGTGAGGAAAAAAATCTGCCATCTTCTTCCTCACTTCCCACTGTTCACTCACCACCTGTTCATCTCGTGAGCATAAATGGCACATCCGTAATTACAGATTCTCCATCATCTCCAACAAGGTAAGAAACATATTTTCTGAAAATCCACCAATAAAGATGCTATATCTTATAACTCTTAGGAGAAAGTAACTTTCAAGGGGAAATACTCTACTGCTTGTATTGTATGTAAAACATGTTTGGTTTAACTGGAATATAAGAGAATACTGATAACTGAGAGGGGTGCTGGAGGATCTTGTGAACAAAAAAGTGTATGTGGGAGGCGCTGATCAAATAAAATTGTATATTGTATTCAAATGTTGCACAATGAATAAAAATGTATCTTCCACATGTGATCAAAATATTTGCAGAAAAGCGTTTTCCTTTAGCCCCTGATTATTGAAATAGGTAGCCCCTCACGCGTAATGTCATATGTTATAACCGTTATTTATTTCCTATTATAAATATCCTGAATTAAAAAAACATATTTTACAATATAATCATTTTTATAATTTCACATAATGTAGGGAATGGTGGCTCAATATTCTTCACATTTCAAACTTGTTTGTGTGGTTTCAATAGCATTAGCAATTATCTGATTATTTTGAAAACAACCTAAATACCATATTTGGGCATATCGTAATCTATATTTCTGTATGCAGTTGCCAATAAGCACAAATCACAGCAACTAAATATAGACAAGAACTATATATCAAATTTTGAAATAACAATTTAAAATCCATACAGTGAAAGGCATAAAGCCGGGGTTGTTATAAATGTTTTATAAATATAAATTTTTATATATCAAAATGACTGGTACAGAATTCAAATTGACCAATCCATGAACGATAAGACAACATCATCGCAGGTTCTAATTAATATTAATTAGTTAGTTTAACATCCAATCAGCAAGCCTCTCATTTTGAATAAGTGGGCGATCACAGTTGCTATGTATAAAACAGTAAAATGTAGAAATATGTACCTTAGTTTATATAAAACAAATTCATTAGTTTTCATTTGAATTCAAATATTTATTAGTAGTGATTTGCTCAAGAGCTCACTTCGTGCGACCACTCACTTATTCAAAATGAAGCACACGCTAATTAGATGAATTTACCCCCCCCCCCTGGTACTCGTTAATCTTAATTAGAATTCATGATGATGTTACAATACCAATTGGTCAATTTGAAATCTAACAGCCATTTTGATTTATAAAAATCAGTATTTATACAGCATTTATATAACATCCTCAGGTTTCTGTCATTCACTGTACATCCTAGATGTCTTTACCAATATATTTTTAGTGACTATAAATTATTTATGTTAAACTCATTTGAAAAATCATGGTACAACATGTCCTTAGATAGAATTTACTTAAATTGTTGGTACATTGCTTGTTTAAAATTTAAAAATGATAATTGAATGAAATGCTATTGAACGTTTGCATAATTTTCCCTCAGGAACTCATATTGTCTACATATAGCATGTGATTGCATTGAACATTTTCTAATAAAATAGCTGATCCACTGTGGTCTGCACATGACTCATCGTTGTATGATAGAGGCTCCACCTGTGGAATATATCATACCACTGTCAAAAACCAGGTTATACTGGTTTTAAATGTCTTCAAGTATGTCTGCTGATAGTTAAAATGAAATGAGGACTGACCAAGAAGGCCGTTTAGTGATGATTTCCTATGACCTCATTCTATGACCCAGAATGAAATTTGTGATACTTAATCATTTAACCATACTGCGCAGTAATTTTTGAATAGGGCTTCTGAGTATATATTTTTGTGTTCATTTTCACCCAGAGGCTGAAAGCTTAAGTTCTAACTTTTATATCTGTCTGCTTGATAGCATATCTTGTCATATAAAGCCATCTGCCTCACACCCCCAATGGCAAATATGTCTATCATAGGCAATAAGGTTACAGCAACCTGCCTGTACTATAGCAATCTGGTGTTGGGGATTATTGTGTAACAATGGTTTAATGACCTTTCTGCATGTTTTCATACAAAATAATACTCTCATGTCTTTCGAAATTGAATTATTATTAACGCACAGAGTGCCCAGTACCTTTACTATTTATCTTTGATAGCATAGAACAATTGAAAATCGGTGTATTATTACATGTACATCACATAAGTCTGTACATTACTGTAAATTCTTAAATTTTCACTGCAATGAATTATCACGATTAAATGAATTTAGGGTCTTCACAAAGTATTTCTCATGTTAATTTGTTTCTTGTGAAATGAGTTTCACCAATAAAATTAATATTTGAGAGAAAAGAGTGATATAAAAGTTGTAAATCAGACCTGGGCTGATACTATAGACAGTTATTGATGAGAGAAAAAAGATGAAACTGCCAGTGGCATGTAGATTTAAAAAAAAAAAAATCAAGGCATGGGGAAAAAGCTGGTTAACAGATTGTTACCCTTAGATAGTAAAGGAATGAGTCATCTTACTTTTAGATTGAGAGATATGAAATGAAAGTTCCAGGTATATCATTCCACATGGGAACCTTAATGGATGGTTGTATTTGCATTCGGCTCACTACATATGCTTGGTAAAATAAAACTATTAACGCACTTGTGTTATTTAAATTGTGTGATAAATTAAATGACACATGCTTCACTTCCATCTCATTGTCAATGTGAGAATATACTTTCTTTTAAATCAGCTACATCTTGAATCAGCTATTTAAGATATAATGCTAAAAAAGACATGTTTTACAGTATATTTCTGATTTTCAGCAGTGTGACAAGCACAATATGATAGTTGAATCAGTTAATTCATTAAGCAGTCAGTTACGGGTAGACAAGATAAATGATCATAAATTTATTTTGGTATGGTATTTTGTCATAAGTCAGGTAGGTCTGAATACTTTCACATTTATGTGATATGTGCAAGAATTTGACCTTCACTGAATGTGTCTGTTTTTGCATGGCCATGGCCTTGGTTTACCTATAGTATTAGCATCTACCATCCTTCTTTTAATTTCAATTAGTTCATAAGTTCATTAGATACTAAATAATTTGTTGTAGTTTTTACCTTGAAATTGGGTGTTGTGATATTTTATATGCTGAAATCAAAACTCCACTTTTCAAATTTATTCCAACCATTTAATTTTACTGAAGGTCACTACTATTACTTGCAACCTATAATATTGAATGCAGCTTCATAATTCATAAATGATATATTAAAAAACTTTGAGTAACATTTTAGGAATAATACTTTTAGGAAATCGTGAAATATATTTTTTTTAACACATGTAAATAAGGATACACAGCAGAATTATAGGCCTGTAAGTCTCATTCAATAGCTTTTCTTCATAATCCTAGTAGTATGAGATTGGAGTAAGTACTTAGGTGTAAAGCAACTACTTAATCCTCTGGGCATCATTACAAATGTGTCGTGAGTAATGATGTGCTGCCTTCTACTATTCATCTCTCACTTAAGATAGGTGTCATCATTGTTCATGATAATTATGTTTCTGTCCATCCTTAAAATAATCATTCAAGTTCACATTTGTTGTAAATTCCACAGGGACCTATAATACTTGTCTTTTCAATTCATCTGTTCTTAATTAAACAAATGCAATTACATTAAAAGCGTGAAGGGTATAGATGTACCAAACCTAAAACTGCTAAACATGGCTTTGACTGATTGAAAGTGTAAAGGAAATATAATATAATATTTTGAAATATTTCACTTCTATTCTTTTCTCTATGAATATAAATCCAACTCAACGTGTGCCTTGTTAGCACCTGTTGAGTTTGTGATATTTCATGATATTTCAATGAATATGAATATGTACTAAATTTAAAGAGCATAAAGAAGTTATATATTAGCTATCATGATGATAATGCTGAGTTTTGTACATCACTTATATTCTTGACTTACTAATAATTATTATAATAATAATTTTATTGAATATTGTAAGTAAATTTTTAGAAATAAATATAAAAGTTAAAACTATAAGAAAAAAACATTGTACGCTAAACTAAATAATATTTGTGTAATTTGGCTGCACTTTTTTCAATATTGATAGTTCAAAATTGTTACAGGCATGTTACATTTATAGTGTGATATCTCTGGTCAATGGGCCGCATAAATTTACCATTCTAAACCATCTGAACACCTTGTGTTGTATACATGGGAGAGCAGGGGGTTTAACAGTGAGATGACCATGATAATGACCCTATGATAATTATAAATACTATACGTGCTGGAGATGGTTGATGTACTTCTAAGAAAGCAAATACTGTACATGCACCTCTATTGGAGATGTGCTTGTAATAGAGTAATTATGGTATGTAACTGGACATTAAAAGGTAATATGATAAAAATCTTTATTCCACCATATTTTATGCATGGCTCACAGTTTTTGGCTGGCATGATTCTCACAAACACTTGCTATCCTGGATAATTGTAATTGTGTTGGATTGTAGAATTGGAAGGACCTTTCCATCAGATTTGCAATTCATTGCCATGGCAATTGCTAGCTGTATTTACTTTTACAGTATTTAATTTCCTTTGAACATGTGGTAAATCAACAGAACATGGTATCTTCGGGTAACAAGCTGTGATGATCTTTTATGATCACTGTTGACTTTGATTTCAATAACGTACATGATGTATACAATCATAATTACCTGAACAGTAGGTTAAACCATTAATGTAACGGGTGTCTGTATGACTGCATGATGGTGACATATAAAGGCTAAAAGTAATGCATTTAAGGGTTCCTGATTTTTCACCTTACATTCAAATTAAGGTTGATCAATACAGTTTCATAAAACTTCTAAGAAACTGAAGATATTTTGTGAATACTGGTAGGTTATTGCTATATATTAAGTCAGTATGAAAAAAAAGGGGTCAAGGACCAAATGTTTGAGATAAATATGTTTTACCCTGTATGGAGTTAAAATAATACATGGGACTCCATTGGGAAAAAGCCTGTATTTCAAATTGAAAAAATGAAACAATTTCAGAACTACATACCCAGTAAATATATAGTTGTACATACATGTATACTAATACATAGACGACGAAACATATTGAACTAAAATGAGACTT